TCCCATTCATCAGTCTCGTTGGTCACAATAACCCCGACCCCAGCCCCTGACGTACTCGGTTCTTAGCTCTGGCCCAGCAAAGAGTTGGTGCTTGCTAAGCACCCGTCTTGAGGTGGTGAAAACACAAAGAACTGGTGCTAAGTCAGGCTCTGGCTCCGAACTAGCACTGGAACCAGTTTGGTGGAAAAGGGGTAACAGAGTTCTGATCTCAGCCTTATGGAGACAGACTGATGACATGAAGAGACAGAAGACACAAAGAAAGACTTAATCCACCGGAGAGCTGTGGCAGGTTCTCCAAAACATGCACGTCTTTCAATTATTCTGACAGCATCCTAATATGTCTGCTGAATGTCTCAATGAGCACCCTGGTGGCTTTTCTGCAAAAGTTGCAACCGCACTTTCACCAGGTCAAACCTTGGATTATTTATGCTCCCCTTTCAACATGGCGCAAGTCTAAAGTGTCTCCGTACTGTCACCTTAACAAATTGGCACAGAAATACAACATACTTTGAGTTGTTTGAAGTGATTCAAGTTTTTTCCCCCACATTTTAGTTCTAATATTGGTCCAAAAACATCACAGAGTGGGCAAAAGACATGGTTTTTGTTCCTGTAGGTACCAGAGTTGCATGTAGACCTCAAAATGCCAAAACACCTTTCATGTATGTTTAGCCTCATTCACTTTGCTCAAATATTTTATGACAAATTAAAACGTAGGTAAAATTTCAACTTTATTGCGATGAAGAGATAGTCTATATAAGTTCAGGTTAATAAGACTCATCAGTACTGTAATCCAGATTCTTAAAAAATGTTAACAGAAGCTGAAGTACAGTTTGTTGCATCCAGTAGTTTGTAGGAGTCTAGTTTGCAAAAGGGTTAGAATAGAATAAAATTTTATCATCCACCAAGGTGGAACATTGTCTTTGACTCACCAACACACAAGATCAGCATGACATACATACAGACACACACACACACAGCAATACATAGTCTAGGTAGCCTACAATAGGATAATACAACAGAATAATTGATTGCTTTGTCTCTAGTATTGCTGTTTGGGTAACAAGAACTAAAACAAAATGTTTGTTTAAACGAACCATCTGATACCTGATGATGGTTTAACAGAGTCAGCATTCGAACTTTAGGACATTGTGCAGGAGTTCCCTAAAACTTTATTATGGTAAGGCATAGGGCTGCAGCTGTCGATTATTTTAATAATTGAGTATTCTATCGATCATTTTAAAAATTAGTTGAGTAATGGGATTTAAAACATACATAATTTCATTAAATTATTTTGACTTAGTTTAATAGTAATGCATCGTTTTCTCCACAGGTTAGTTTGCTCTCCAAGCTTTGTCTGTGCCCATCTCCATTTTGCATTCTGCGCTTGGCATGCATGTTACAGTATCAAAAGCGGAAGCAAGCACGCTGTGCAGCAGAAATAACCGTCTGGGCAGAACACGGGCAGATAGCCTGCTGTATCAGTGCAGTGTAGCTATGGTGTAAGTACATGCTGACAAAGCCCAGAATTGAACTTGTTGAATACACACTCTTAAATGCATTGTAGAAGGTGCATATATTAGAGCATAGGCATGTTCAAAATACTCAGTCCCATTTGTGTCATACCGTTCAGCAGGTAAGAAACATGTCTAGCAGCTCTTCTGTCCTCAAAGCAGTCTGTCAGCTGTAACTGCTGAGTCCAGTCAGCCTGCAGTACCAGTTCCATGTACCAGAGTGGAGGTCACTGTTTCTTTAGGCCCCTGTCAGACATGGAATATGGAACATTGTTGGCTGCATCAATCCAATAAAGCGACGGCATTCTTGTCACTCAGCACATACACATGCAAAATGAAATATTTGTCATTGACACCAAGCAAGCCAACACACAGTGATGCTTAATGCATAATATTGCAGTAAAAGACTGAAACTAAATGAATAGGAGCTGATCAAAGTGTCCAAACTAACTAACAGTCCAGTTTATTGCCCTTTGGTCCCGGTCGGCCCTTTCTCCACATTGGGATAATTTATAGTTGAACCTAATTAATTAGGTTCCTGCTGTTGCTACATATGGAAAAGCTCTCTCTCTTTGGAGACGCTTGTGGATCCTACCGCTGTCTGATGCTGCTGGTGTGAAATAAACTATGAAGACATTGTTTTAAACGGCTAGATACTAAACTGCTGCTGTGTGTGTGACGGCTGACCTGTCTGGTGTGGAGACTTGTAGGTCTACACAGTGTGACCTGCCATCAGATCCTGTGCCAGACTGATTTTGCTCTCAACATTTTCTCAGTGATAATTTGTAATTATAAGAATTTTTTAAAATGCGGGTGTTAAATAGTTCTGAGTCGCTGGAAGAAAGCTCCTGTTAATGTCTTATGGAGGGAGGAAAAAAATGCAATTACATTCAGGATTTGTGAGTTTCATTCATCTTTAAGCTGCTACTGTCTGCAAATTAGACTTTTCATTGCAGTAAAGTGTTAATATTATTATGGACGTTTTATTTGATTGGCTCGATTTTGAAATTGTAGAGCAAAAGTGAAAAGGTGTTTTGTGGTTTTGGCACACAAACTGTATATTAAACCTCTCTGTGATGTTGTCAGTTAAATATTGATACTATTACGCGGAAAAATCCTATATAAATCACTTAACACAGCTCAAAGTACTGGTGCTTGTGTGTGGCTATCCATTAATGTTGCTTTTCAGTTCAGGCTGTTGAAAGTTAAACCAAGGTTGGACCTAGTAACACTGCTGAGCGACTTACAGAAAAGTGACCAGGTGCTCATGCAGATGTAAAGCAGACACGGTAAACAGCCGTCAGATTATAGAAGGTATGTCTGAAAGGGGCTTTCGAGGGAGCTGGAGTTGGAAATATGTGATGCAGACCCACAGTGAGTCAGGGCAGCACTACATGATATGAGGGTAATAACAGAACTATGTCGGGATGCAAATGAGCTGGTTCAGACGGAAAAGTGACTCATGGTGTGGGCCTTTGTCAGGGACTTGTGACATTGTGGGTCATGTGTCTGACCACAGTTATGAGCTTTTCTCTGTCTGAAATCTTGTGCTCCGAACAGCTTTTCCTTTACGTAGTCGAGTGTCAGTCAGTGAGGGAGCCACAGAGGCCTATATGCCACCCTGTGGTGTGATGCTGTGTGCTGTGGGATAGCCACAGAGCCACACAAACTGTAACAGACCTTATTGCATCCTCATGCTCTATTCAAACAGTTAAAATCCACATTTTTAAGGCTGTCACTTTTCCTAACACTCGGTCCAAATAAGGACAAGCATGTAATTACCTGGAGTTATTGCAGCACATGACACCCAACTGCAGAAACATTGTCAGCTTGCAGTGCTTCTGCTGTCCCATTTAGTTGATAAGACCACAGGCATATTCTCAGACTGGTTGTCATGGTAATGTCACTTTTTTTATTCAAGACATTGATTTTATATTATTGCTTGTTAAGGCAGCATTAAATAATTCTGTGTGTTACAATGATGTCTTTCATCTGTCCTTGCTGTAGAACAGCTTTGATGTTGATTGAGTTCATTAATGATCCTCCTGGACATTGGGAGCCTTCACCCCACAAATAGATGTTTTTCTAAATTACCTGATGTTAGAAGACTCTTGGCTACAGTGTTTTAACTTTTATCAAAATTATTTTTTGTTTGAGCACGACATATCATTTTATACGGTCATCCTGAAAAGGCAAAGCAAGTAGTAGAGCTATATTTTAATCTGAGGGCATGAAGTTCAGACTTGTACTGTGTTTGAAGTGTTACAGGAATGTTAGTCAGTGTGACCCAAAGCTTGCTGTCATGACTGTAATGTGTAAAATCACCACATGTAACAAGATGCAGTCAAATAAGGACCAGACAGAGTAAAGTTTCTGTTCCTGTGTACATTTGCTTTCTTATTCTCAGATTCCACCAGAAGAAAGTAGAAAAACACTTAATTTGTACATCAGCTAATGGAGAAACGAATTGATCACATCTAAACCAAACCTATAAATGATTTTTGACCAGCCTAATAAAAATCCCACCTACAGGGAAGGTGTAGCTTGAGAGCTGTGTTGGCTCAGCAGCAGCAGCAGCAGCAGCAGCAGCAGCTCTGGTGCTCCACCTGTGCCTCACAGGATGCATTCATGTACACCTGTGTTTTGGCAGAGGTCAGAGCCAGTTACAATTGTAAACTCCAGGAAAATAGACTTGAAGCTTAAAACTACACTTCAGCTTTGTATGAAAATCCAGCCCTTCTGGGGACGTATACATTCAGTTCTGTGCAAAGTACTGGGTTATGTTGTTCCCCGATCATCTCTTGTGTTATACCTGGGACATTTGGAAGGATCTGTACATGTTGGTGATCGATACCTGGTCAAGATTCTTAGTACGGCGGCAAAGAAAACCATCACTAAGAACTGACTAAAAGCTGAGGCACCAAATCATAAACAGTGGTTGTCAATTATAGAAAACATCCTTGAGATGGAGAAGCTTTCTTTTAAACTGAAACTGAAAGAAGAAGACTTTGTAAAAGGCTGGGAGAAATGGTTGAGATATACAAAACAAGCTTAAGCACTTGTAAGTGATAGAAGAATGTAACTGACATATTAATAGGCTGGGGTATTTGTGACCATTGTTTATGTTATTGTTTATCTTTGTTGTACCATCACTGTCATGGATTGTTTGATGTATATTGATGACGATTGTAAAATGGATGGATTTAAAATAAAAATATAATAAATAAAAAGTTTTAAAAAAACAAAAAAAACTACACTTCAGCTTGAAATTACGAGTGTGTAACAGGCTGTGTAAACTGATTAAAATAGCAGCACATCTGTTCCTTGAGACGACTCAGAGACATGACTGAAACTTATTCTGCAGGCACATTTGAAAACTATTGGTGTAGAAACAAAAAGTGCTTTCCACTGATGAAGAGACAAAAATTCAACACACTACACCTTATTCCTACCTGATAGCCGTGTCTTCTCTCTCTTTCCTCCTGTCAGGAAGCGTCAGTGGGCCTGCAGGCTCCACGTGGGTGCTGAGACAGGATGAAGAGGTTCAGGCGACATGGCCAGGAGTCCCAGAGGGATCGACTCAAACAGGAACTCTTCCAGTTCAACAAGGCAAGTGAACCCTGGTGCATTACACTGGTTGGATCTGAAACACAAAGACAACATCGCAACAGATTTTACAGAACATTCGGGTCAGAGACATGACTGAACAGAAGGTGAAAGCAAAAATCATGTCAGCAGACTCCTCCAAAAATGTTCATGTGCAATTTGTTTACTTGCACTTAAGTGAACAGGTTAGTGAAAAAGATTGAGGACGTGTTCTAAAGTGGTTACTGTCAGTACACATGTAGGCGCCAAACATGCTGATTTTGGTTGAATTAAAGATGATGTGCTGATCCTAAGGCGCTGTGTCTGTGTGACAGCTGTAGATTGGTTGTGTCCCAGTCCATTCTGTGGATGGTTAATCAGATTGGTAGCAGGGCAGTTTGAAGCTCAGACCAGCACCTTAGACTCTTTGTCATGTTCCTTGAGCTGTTTCTCAGCAGTTCTTGCAGGAAAGCAGGGCGCGTTGTTGTTCTGGGGGAGGCCTCTCTCGTCAGAGTAACATCCCAGTGTTATTCACATCATCTGTCAGTGGATTTAATATTGGGACTCATCAGAGTATTTCAGCGAGTGCTTTACGAATATGCATCTGCAGTGTGTGATTGTACAGGTCACTAGGTAAGACTTTGCATTAAAACACCAATTAATTAATTTTCCCATTCAACTGTGTGTCAGATTATGCTATAGTTTCTATTTGATGACAAAAGTAATACATTTGGAGGTGGTCTTGTCATCAAAGTATGCTTTTTTTTATGTTGTATTACTATCACTTGTGTTGTAAATATGTGGTCAACAACAAAAAAGGAAGATTTTTAATAATGTGTGAGCAATAGACATTAAGTATTAAAAAAAACAAACAAAAAAAAAACAGAACATATACATACGGAACTGTAAATATCTAATCATCTGTTTCTGCCACTGTGCACAATTTAATGTTTACAGTCTGATGATGTAGCTGAAAGGAAAGTAGTAGTTTTCAACCAACCCTTTCAAATGAAAAACATTTGTTTTTAATGAGTTACTGTATTCTGACAGTGTTTTCAAGGCATTTCTGATTTACTAACATTAAAAAAAATCAGTCAAAGAAATAAGAGACCCTGATGCCAACACTGATCTTTAACTGCATTGCAGGAATAGAACTAAACATTGTGTTCAGTCCTTGTCTCGGTGATCTCTTGTCTTTGTGTCCGTTGTTCCAGCTCTGTGTCACCCTCCTTGTGTCTGTCCACTCTTCCCTCCTCAGACAGTGGAGCATGGATTCCCCCACCAGCCCAGTGCCCTGGGCTACAGTCCCTCCCTGCAGCTGCTTGCCATCGGTACCCGCTCCGGGGCCATCAAACTGTATCCTTTACTCTACCTGTGCATAAGTATATGCCAGGTAATAACTTGAGCACAGTGTTTGAACTTGAGGTAGGAGGTGCTAATGAATGCCTGTCACGCTGTTAAATCTTCATCTAGTTCAGGTATGACATTTTCCCATACTGTTGCTCAGTGCCACCTGTTATTGTTAGACAGTGGCGTCTGTGTCGCTGTAGCCTTTTGCACAATTATTCAATGACTGTACAGTGGAGCCAGTCAGTACACTGCCCCCATTGACACAGAGACATACACTGGTTTTGATAATGGCGGTACCTTCTCTCATTAGACTAATCCATTCATACAATGCAGCACATTGTTCCTGGAAAAAATAGAAAGTGGGCTCAGATAAAGGAAAATCTCTCAAAAAATGCTATGAGTCAACTTCAGGTTATGTCAAGGGACAGAGCAGATTCTGTTCTTTGTATGTAGCATCATTTGATAATGTGACGCTTTTAGTCAGTATATTTACAGTGAGGTTAGGGTCACATAAACTGCAGCAGCAGCCCTGGAGCTGCGTCACTGGTTTGCTCTTTGACCCTACAGCAACATGGGAGATTGAGCTGCACTCCTCATGTTGTTTGACAGACTCCATGCACAGTATAGTGCCCCCTGGGGCCTTTATCTCATGCAGGACATTAGCGTTTCTGGTATTAAGAACAAAGTTCATTCCTAATCCAAATAAGTCACAATGGAAACCAATCAATCAAATATAATAAAAAATATATATATATTGTAAAAAATATATAAACAAAATAAAAATACAGAAAGGTCAATGACAACATCAGTGACTGAATAGAACATTAAAAACATGAATACAATGAAATGTAGTAAAATAAAGAAATTTCTAATCAAAAGCCAAGGTAGGTTCCATATTTGTGTTTAAAGATGTTGCTTGACTCAAGCATCAGTTTAACTGGGAAAAATCATTCATTCGTAATGTTTTAAAGAGAAAAAAATCATTAGCTTAGAAGTTGTTCAGTCCATGCATAATGTATGCTTCATGTTGTTGGACTTATGAGTGTTTCACATTTAATGTTTGCGCTTGTGTCTGCGTTGCAAATTTAGTTTTCCCTGCAAAATGTTGGGCTTCAGCAAGAGCAGTGCATACCATTCTGAGTTTAATGTCAGAATTATGACTTGAAACTCAAAAGTCAGAATTTACCAAAATGATCAGCCAGAAGGAAAAGGTTCAGAACTTGAACATTTCTCACAGTAGCCCCTTAATCTTCCTCTCTAAGTTTAAATCAGTCTTGAAAATGCATGCTTGTTGTTTTCAGGACAAACTGGATTATGACTCCCAAAGGAACCTGGCTTTTTGACTCACATTCACCCCACATCTTTTCCTCCCCTTCAACCCTCTGGCATCCCTATGGAAGGGATTCAGGCCTTCTCTTTTGGCATTTGGCAGAATGTCTGTATTTTTAGTTTTAGTTTTTAATAGACTGCATTCTGTAGTTTGACTAAATATTTCGTTCTCTCCCTCTCAATGTAATTCTAATAGGCCTTAAATTAAACTTAATGTTGATATAGGTTCCTGGAGTCTTCATTGTACGTGTGTCTGCGTCTGTCATAAATCCAGACTTTCCTTTACCAGTGTTCAGGTACGGAGCTCCAGGTGTGGAGTTCATGGGTCTACATGACGAGAATGCTGCCGTCACACAGGTGCACTTTATGCCCCACCAGGTACTGTCGGAGAACAAACACATGAAACACAGCATTTCAGCTCTCTAAATTTGCAATATAGAGTATTAAGAAATATATTCCAGCTGCCCACTGTTCTGAGCAATATTGATGGATTGTGGCTGTTGTTTAGGTTGAACTGGTGACTTTGCTGGATGACAACAGTCTGCACATGTGGACATTAAGAGGTCACAAGGGACTTTCTGAACTTCTGGAGATTGGACGCTTCACGCTCACTGGACCTCCTGGGTAAGTCACATTTTCCAGTCATCATTTTCCCCTTTCCACAGGTACTTTTCCAGAATTTTTTTGGGGAACTCCAGGCTCTTATTTCTGCCACCCCAACATCCTTGATGTAGGACTGTAGTACTGTGGAGCATGGGTGTAGCAGAAAACAATGGCATTTTTTTAATGATACTAAGAGGACCCATTTCTGACTAACTCATTACTTAGTTCTTGGAATGAGTTAGTCAAACAGGCATATCCCTCTGCATCCATGAATTTGTGTAACCATCCCTTTGTCCAAAAAGTAGCTACCTGACGTTCCGATTGATATCCTCATCTCTTCCTCAGTGCCCCTCCAAGCGTGACCAGAGTGACTGCAGTACTGGCTCACTCCTCAGGGGAGCTGCTGCTGTTGGGGACAGAAGGAGGACATGTTTTCATCGTTGAAGTCCCGGGATTCAGAGAGCTAGAAGAAAGAAACATCAGCCTCGACCAAGTCGCTGCGAGGTGGGCAGTTGCAAAACATCAACGCACATTTTGGTGTTGTGTTTGTAATTAAGGGGAGGAAAATAGTGTTAAGGACTAGGAAACTGCAAGAAAAATGAAAATGGTACACCTCCATACACAGCACTGTCGCCACGGTGCAAACAGTTGTTTGGCTGTGTGCTATATTGACAAGAACATTCTGTCAGGCTAGAGTCTGTCTCGGTGTTCCACCACGTAGTTCTTCAGTCTGCTGTATGAGCATTTTATTACAGTGGTTGGGATTCACAACAATAGGCTACACATCAACAGCCTTTATGGTAAATCATCTAGTATAAATGTTCTTAGTGCGCCATTTGTCACTGCAGGAGCTTTTGTGCATGTTCCAACCACACTGGTAGCACCTCTTTTAGGGCTGTCTTAGGGAGAAAAATGTACCTTTTGTGGGACAGGTGCATCTGAGGGGCCCTGAAAAACTACTGCGTGGGTCTTAATGCTTAACTCATAGAAGACAACAACAACAAGTGCCACTTTTTCTGCTTGATGTTCTCTTTGAGTTGCAATCTCCTTCTTTCAGACATTACCATCAATGAAAAACTTGCTATGTAGGCTAACATAACAAATAATATTCATCTCGGTGTCTTTGTCGTTGATGTTTTGACCGGTTCAGCATTGTAATTGCAGTGAAAACTATTGCAGAATTGAGACATCACGTTGTGAGTTAAAGTGGATTCTACACCACAATGCAGACAGGAAGACCCAAAGGGCCAGGTGGTTGGGCCGTAACTGTAAACGTTTGCACCACCTCGCGCCTGCCCGATCTCCCCTGAATCTTGTTGAACCAGCTCTTATTTATTCACATGTGCCAATCAGGAAAAAACTTCAAGATTGAGTAAAGGAGCCTGATGCACTTAACACAAGTGCAAGCAAAGCTACCAAGTATTTCTGTGTCTTGTTCTGTTCCCCTGTGGAAATACACAGCACTGTAGTTCTTCAGATTTCTAATGGATTGACCATAAACAGTGTATTGATTGTTCTATCTAGACTGTTGTCACACACACCATTTAATACATCACACTGCCTCTCAACCCCCTACAGATCAGTAGTGCGTTTGATGTTGTGTCTATACTTGTTGTGTTTCGTCTTATTTTTTTTTTGCCTTTTCTTTGCTTTTTGTCACTCCAGCGTGCCGGACGACTACATTGGCCGCAGGAATCTGGAACATGTAGAGGCCTTACAAGAGAACCCAATCAACCCAAATCAGGTTGTTATCGGCTATGGACGGGGTCTCATGGTCATATGGGATTTGGAGAAACAGTGTGCCATCCAGCACATCCCTGCCACACAGGTAATACAGTACCAGCCAGTCCTGTACAAACTGTGTTTACAACCAGCATGTGTAATCTTGGCATATATTTTAATGTATTCTAATGAAACCACAGCAACTGGAGAGCGTGTGGTGGACTGAGGACGGGAGCTACATTCTCAGTTCACACAGTGATGGAAGCTATTGTCGATGGATGGTGGGTGGTGAGGATGTGAATGAGGAGGAGGAAAAATCAGACATTCCTTATGGTGAGAAGGAAAAGCTGTGACATTTTCATTTACTACCACACATGAAGTATGCTTTTTTTCGAGGCTGATAGCAAAAAACTCCTTATCACTGCAGGACATTTCCCTTGCAAGGCCATTTCTAAAATAATTCAGCTCCCGACAGAAGAAGGGTAAGCTCACCTCATTCACCAGTAAAATTCACTCGTGACATGTATTACACAGCTTCCCTCAGTGAATGCTGTCCTAGCATTCTCACTGTTCTAATGTTTAACTTCTCAGTAGGTTACATGAGCTGTAGTTAAACATTAGCCTTTGGGCAAATTGAACTGATCTTGAACCTGTGTACATGTGTGTGTAGGCCTCCATTCCTGCTGTTCAGTGGTGGTATGCCCAGAGCCAGCTACGGGGACAGACACTGTATCACAGTGATCCACAGTAAGACGCACGTAGCTCTGGACTTCACCTCCAGGATTATCGACTTCTTCGTCATCAGGGATGGGCTGCAGCACACAGGCAGGCAACACACCTGCATACAACAAACACACTCAGTCTTCGCTTGAGTTCAGCTTTCTACAGTTTTCGTAAATGTGATAATATACAAATATATTTATATCAGTATATAATTACTAATCAGTTAAGGCACACACAGATTTTTTAAAGAACTTTTCCATATGCCTTTTCCCTTTCTCCTCACTCTTCAGTGACTGTGGTGTTGCCACTGTGTGCATTTACACTTTACTTTTGACATATCCAGATAATATAAAGTGGGGACAGCAAAAAAGCAGATTAAATGAGATTTTCACAAATCTGACATAAACGACATTTAGAGGTGGTTTGAAGCAGATTTCCAGAGATTTCTTACTCCAGTTGCTCTGGCTGCTGAAATTGGATGTCAAAGTGTCTTTTGCATCACTCGCACTGTGACATACAACAGCGATGAGAAATCCAGAGGGCATAATCTAGGCTACGTGCATGCTACATGCTACTAGCAGAACAGAATTAAGGACAGCATGGCAAACAGCAGTCCGAGGACAGATGCCAAAATATAGTTAGTGGGATGACTGTAGAGCATCAGTCCATTTCTGTTGCTTCTGTGCTGGGTCTGTGTTTTGAACTACCCTACCAAGTAAATCTAAAAGTCAAGATGTCTCAGCCTCTGCTCCTTTGTGAGACCCATCACTGCGGTTCATGACTTGTGGGGCATTATTTCGTTTTGCTGGTATCTGTCACTGTGGTAAATTCTTATGAGTATCCCTGAAGAGCAATGCATAGTAAAAACTACATATTTCAGTTTGTGGCATAAACAATCCGATTATGTTTTTAAGCACTTTTCTGCTTAAGTTTTAATCTAGGAACAATGCCGCCCCAGAAATTGCTATAATTGCCAAACAACAACATCTCTGGTGCTCTGTACCCCTGCAGGAGATCCCAGTGCGTTGGTGGTCCTGGTGGAGGAGGAGCTGGTAGTAATTGACCTGCAGACGGATTGCTGGCCTGTTATTCAGACACCTTACTTGGTCCCCCTCCACAGCTCAGCCATCACCTGCTCTCACCATGTCTCTGCCATTCCCCTTAAATTGTGGGAGAGGGTCATCGCTGCTGGAGATCTGCAGAATACACACTACTCTAAAAAGGTATACCTGTGTTTAAGCAAGTTTGTGTTTTTTTGTTCATTTCCTGCATTTATGTTAAAAAGTAATCATTGGCCTTTAAATGCTTTATCTTGTGAAATATTTCAAAATAAATTATTTGGAAATAAAGTTGTTTGAAAAAGTTAAGTTCAAGAAAAATGTCTACTCTGTCAAGCCTGACCTAAATGGTCTGACTTGATGAAATGTATCTGACAGAAAAGCTATTGTATGAGTATTGTGATATATTGAGCAGGTCCAAAATCTTGGATACACTCGCCTTAAATGATGCTACATTTTCTTCAGTCATGAGTGAATATGCAAGTGTCTTACATTTTTAAGTTCTTAACCTCGATCTTAGTTATCAACCTGTTGAACCCTCTGAACTCTAAGAACTGTGCAGTCTTTGCTTGTTTCACAGTTTATCTTACTGTGTGCTCATTTTTCTCTGCAATGTGAAGTCCTGCCCTTTTGCATGCATACTCTTTTGTTTGCAACACAATTTGGTGCAAACAGTTTATTTTGGCAAACATTTTAAACACCCATGAAGAAAAAACAGATTTTGATTCGGTATCCCAATCTTTACCTCTGATTTGGTAACTGTTTCCTGACTAAATCAAAGGTCACAGTCGCAAAGGACCGTCAGAAAGTTTTAATCCAGTGAATCTTCCTGTTTTTACAGTCTCTTCTTATGATAAATAGTGTCATTTTGGTGGTTTTATTTTTTGAATTAGGATCCCTTTCAGAACCACCGGCGGGTTTTCGGGTTCAGAGGGCTAAAACACTGTTTAGTATAGTGTGACCAAAACCTTGTATCATAGTGTACTTGATTTTTTGATTCCCTTACAAGCATCCTGTGCTTCCCTGCTTTTTACAACCATATTAATCCCAAACAAGGCTTTTAAACACATGCTAAGAGTATCTCAGATTCAGAATTACCAGGGTCAGGTCAGCTCCTAAAATGCAATTTTTACAGTGCTTTTAGGTATCAGCACAAGTTGGTCTTACTCTTAAACCTTCGTTTCCCCTTTCTCCATGTCAGCCATGGCCAATAACAGGTGGTCAAAACCTGGCTCCAGATCCTCCACAGAGAGACCTGCTGCTCACAGGGTTGGTACACCTGCACTTCATACATCTGTGTTGGAAGATTTCTTTGACTTCCTGCAAATCATTTTAACAGTGACATGTTTGTTTGTACATACAGGCATGAGGATGGAACAGTGCGTTTCTGGGATGCATCAGGAGTCTGTCTGTATCCCATGTACAAGCTTAGCACAGCTGGGGTGTTCCACACAGATGCTGATCCCAATGACAACATGAATCAAGGGGCTGAAGGAGAGTGGCCTCCATTCAGAAAGGTTTTGTAATACACTTCACAAAAATAAATCCATATTTTTTCTTTTCAAACATCTTTTTATTACTGCCACTACTACTACTCTTACTACTACTACTACTACTACTATTACTACTACTACCAGCAGTGCAGCTTGACAGGTGAACAACAACTTTCAGTGAGGCATTGTGCAATGTTACATTGCTATAACAACAGTGGTGAAGAAATTCCTTTGTGCATGGGAATGATGAAGTAACATTTAGAAAGTCATTTTTAGATGATACTACGAACAGAACAGTTTGCACTTATTGATGATTCTAACAATGTGTATAATGCTTGGCTGAAGATATATACATATATATATATATATATATTTAAAAAAGTAAACAGGATGGTGTTGTCTTTCATTGCAATCTGAACAAAGCACTCTGGGATGCTCTCATAGTTACTGTAGTCAATCATGCCATTGTGTCTATGAGTCACCCCCGCCCTGACAGAGCCACCAAATGTAGTTTATTGTTTTTGGAGAATCATTCCTCAGGTCTCCAGTAGCACCCTACCAAGATCCAGACAGCACAGTGTAATATGTAGCTGAGTTGACAGTTAGTCATAAGAACAGTCAAATTAGCTGACTATATCAAAACTCTACTGAAGGAAAGGAAGTAGACTGAAGGACATATATTAGAGCAAAACCAAAAAAAATAACCATAATACCTAAAAAGTATCCATAAACATTTCAGTAGCAATTGTAAGGCACCATATAGTCACATAGTCTGGTTCACACATGCTCAGTTAATATTCTACATGTGTCAGGGTAAGGACGTATTTCTGTACAGTTCCGTCTAATTTCCCGTGTTTTATAGAATATAACAGAATGCTTTTTATTGTCATCATACACAAGGTACAACGAAATTAAAAGACAACTCCAGTGGTGCAGAAGTATAACAGTAAACGTATAAAAAGACAAATAAGAATATATACATGTATTTACAAAAGGCGTATTAGTCTGTCTCTGAAAGCAGTTGGTTCTGCTGGAGGTTTGTAAAGCCTGAGAAAATGTTAGTTTGGAGACAGATGTGGTTGTTTTGCAGACAGTGGGCACATTATAGGAAATCCATATGTTGGATCCTGCATTTTTGTCTGACTTGAAGTCTGGATATTTTAATTTTCATTCTGTTCATGACAAGACCCACAACTTCTAACGTGCAACACTAACCTGCAGTTCCCGACATGTTTGTTTCCAGGTTGGCTGTTTTGACCCCTACAGTGACGACCCGAGGCTTGGCATTCAGAAGATCCATCTCTGTAAATATAGTGGTTATCTGACTGTAGCTGGCACGGCGGGACAGGTGACTGTTCATATATGTTACCTGACTGGAATTGATGTCATGGTTTATACACTGTATTCCTTTTTTACTGATTCATTCTCAATGCCGCTTCATTACTACAGTACTACTACTACACTAGAAAACACTATTACTACGACTGCGTTAGCCATTGTAATAGGCTAGCTCACCTGCTCAGTCTGTTCCTGCAGGCACCTGTACGCTGATCACCAGGTGTCTGAGTCAGACCTCTTCTGATTGAGGAGCGCACATCAGCTCACAGAGCCACAGAAGAAATAAAAGTTCTGCTTTCCACCACTTAACACAGTAGCTGCATGTGCTGGTTAAAGTGACAACAAAACAGCTAATGATCATCATGCTCTTGCACCAATGTGACCACTAAATTTTAATTCCCAAAACACTCAAAAAAAGGTCACATATGTGATCACTGTGGTTGCAGTCTGAAGCCCTGTCACCATAGGTGGAATTTATTGTCCACAAAAACCTTTTATTATGAAAATCCACCACAGTTTCACAATCACAGGTTGGCCTGACGGGGTCCATTTCTTCACATGTGCACATATATGATACACTTTGTAACTGTACTCAATCCATCTATTGGCTCTACTTTCTTCTCCTTTCAAGAGTTGCACGGGGCTGGTGATATTTTTTATGATCCAATATTCTAAATATACCCTGATTTAAAATGAGGGTCCTACCACCAGGGCTTAGTTTGAAGTCACATCATTCTGTTTATTCACAGTATTGGTTTGTCCTTGTAGATCCTGGTGCTGGAGCTGAATGACGAGGCAGCAGAGCAGACAGTGGAGGCTAAAGTTGTAGACTTGCTACAGGGCCAAGAGGGATTTCGCTGGAAGGTAAAGACTAATACTGGACCGGTTATTGAGATTATGTTTATACTTAGCTGCATCCACACCAGGCAATTCAATTTGTTTGTGCAAATATCATCATCTGTGTTAAAACTCAGAAAGGGATCTTGCCCCCTTAAAGAGAATGCACGAAGGACACATAAGCAAGCTAGGTACAGTAATGGTAACCATTAATGGGAAAATTAACACTGTCTCCATGGTTGCTTCCTGCTATCTCAAGTGCATTTATAACAAGAATTTCAGCGAGAGAGGGTTTACATTTTGGCTTCTTTGCTGTTGCCGTGATGCTACGTTTTCACTACAACACCAAGCTGATTTTTTTAGATTTTAGATAGACTCCAGTTTACTCCAGAAAGATGAAGCTGCATTTACCATTTTTACTGGCATAGTGTTTTCATGGTATGACAAAAGTAATTTCCACTAACACAATTTTAACGCTGTCCCTAGTATTCCCTGGTAGCTGTCAAATCTGATAACACTGATTCTTTCCCCTTACATCCTTTTTATCATTATTTGTTACGCACTGTACCATCAAGCACTGGACTTGTTATGGAATGCGTATGTTTTTTTCGCCCACTAGGGTCACACTCGGCTGGACGTGCGTGAGGAGCCAGTGTTGTTTCCTCCAGGCTTCCAGCCCTTTGCTCTGGTCCAGTGCCAGCCCCCTGCTGTGGTCACTGCCCTCACACTGCACTCAGAGTGGAAGCTGATAGCATTTGGCACCAGCCACGGCTTTGGGTTATATGATTACCAGCAGAAGAACAACGTCCTCATCAAGTAAGGAGACCCAGAGACCGAGATTAAAGCTTCATTTTCATATCGAACAATCACTGTGTTTGTTCTCACCAGGATTCTCTGGTTCAGTTTGTAGCAGTTGCATAGTGGCATGTGCCATTTTCTTTTTACAGTGGAGAAATTTAGTCCACACAGTTTTTCTCAGTTGGTTTGGCCTCATTTTTATGTCACAAGCTGTTTCCACAGTATTCGTGTATCATTCTATGTATCTCTTCACTCTAAAAGGTAATACCAATACTTATTTGAATCACATTAGTGTACTTTACTTATTTCTCATTGTCCTGTCCATTTAACACATGGACTGTGAGTATGTACTCATTTTTCCTTAAAGAGTTATATAACTAAGTATACTTGGGTAAACTTGAAACATTCTGTTCCTGGACTGAACACAGAGCTCAGCAGTGCACATGTGCAGTTGAGAAGTGCAGGAAAAGTTTCCAGAAACTTTTCGGGGCGGCTGTGGCTCAGGTGGTAGAGCGAATCGGTCAGTGATCGGAAGGTCAGCAGTTTAGTTCCACCCTGTAACCTCTGTCATGGTCGTTGTGTCCTTCGGCAAGACACTTTACCCACCTTGCCTTGCCTTGCCTCAGTCTGCCCCAGGGCAGCTCACCGAAATGAATGTGTGTGAATGAATAATTGACAGTGTAAAGCGTCTTTGAGTGTCTAGAACACCGCTATATAAAGCTGATCAGTTATTAATATTATTATTTGGTTCTTACCCTTGGAAATATCAAATTCATTCTACTTGCTATATATAAGTTCACAAAATTAAGTAAATACAGCTAAATTTTGAGTAAGCTTTACAAGTAGATATGAAGTAAACTGAATTTAAGACAAATGGTTATATTTGCTTATCTTTTTTGAGTGCAACCGGTTTCCTAGATTCGTTTAAGAAAGATCAACTTTTCACATTTTATAGTGTGTGTATGTGCTAATTCAGTATTTTCCAAATTGTAGGTGCACACTAAACCCCAGTGACCAGCTGGCCATGGAGGGTCCCCTGTCCAGAGTGAAGAGCATAAAGAAATCCCTCCGACAGTCCTTCAGGAGAATCAGGCGTAGCAGAGTCTCTCTAAGAAAACATCACGTCAACAACACTGCCAAGGTGGCATCAGAGTACTACTGACTGTCCACATTCTCCTCATGTCCCCTCAGGTTGTTACATGTTTTGCTTATTTCTCCTCATCTTGACTCTCCTCTCCTTAAACAGCTCCAAGAGGCTAATGCTCGTTTGGAGGCTGAACTGGCGGAGATGGAGCTGGCTCCTGTCCAGAGGAAGATTGAAGCTCGTTCCTCAGATGACTCCTTCACCGGCCTTGTACGGACGCTCTACTTTGCTGATACCTTCCTCTCAGACAGTGAGTTTTCCTGTTAAACACTGGGCTTTGCTTGTAAACTACACAAATGAACACCTACACAAGAATAAAACCGTATAGAAGAACTGGCTCTATACTGTTTTATTGTACCTGAAAGCATTTTTGGACATGTCTCTTCATTTCTTCTGTAGGTTCACATAACACACCCTCCCTGTGGGCAGGAACCAATGGCGGCTGTGTTTTTGCATACATGCTGCGCCTTCCTCCTGTAGAGCACAGAGCAGATGAACCTGTCACCGCACAGCCAGGTGAGTTTTTGATATTTGGGGAAATATTCTCCCACCTATGTTGTCTTATTGCAACGTTGTCTCCCCTCTGTTTGCCTCCGGTATCCCAGCCAAGGAGATCCAGCTGATGCACCGTGCCCCTGTTGTTGGTATAGTGGTGTTGGATGGTCATGGGGCTCCTCTACCTGAGCCACTGGAGGTAGCCCATGACCTGGCTCGCTCGCCTGACATGCACGGCTCCCACCAGCTACTGGTCATATCTGAGGAACAGTTTAAGGTCAGAATCACACCCATGCCCCAGTATCACTTTTGCATCCACAGCATCTAACACTCTTTTTACACAGGGAAAGTTGCTTGTAGCCTTACTTTGCTAAAGGTCCCATATTCTTCCCCTTTTCAGCAAAAATAACCAAAGTCTCACATGTGTCCAGAGTGTGTCTTTCTTTTTCTTTTTTCTTTTTTTTTTGGTGGTCAGAACAAAGCATATATAGTTCATTTCACCATGACTGTACAACCCCCTGTTACAGCCCTGCTCCAAATGGGCAGTTTTAGTGTCTCTAGCTTTAAATGCAGCTGAGCTGAGCTGCTGTTTTCCACAGCCCCTTCAGGAAGAAGGCTCTCTCTGCACCTGTTATTTACAGAGCAGAGCAAAGCAGTTGACCAGAGGCAGGTGATCACGGCTTCCTATCGCTTAAACGTTCTCTTGGAATGATCATTTTACATCGAAATATTTCTGAGCACATCTGTTGCTTGGAACTCGTGTGTGAGTTTTTCAGACAGCGTTGCTCTTAAAAGCATCAGTATTTTAGTGGTGCAGAGCAGTATTCTTAACAGGTGGTGTTTCAGTCATTATTATGACTGACGGCAGATTATACAAATTTGTGTTGGACAACTATCAGTTGCTCTCTTGCTACCTAAGAGTCAAAAATCTTAATGTCTTGTAAAGCTGGAAGGCATTCTGGTTGAGAAGGGACTAAAGCAGGCATCACCAAATGGTGGACCTCGGTCTGGACCGGACCGAGGGATGGTTTTGTCCGGACCTGTGACCAATCTCTGATATATTCACGAGAATAGATTTTCGTGCAACATTTTTTCCAACCGTCGCAGCTGTAGACAGCGGGCGCTGCTACTCCAGTTAATACGACAATAGCGCCACTCAGTCCAGCCAATCAAATTGTTCAGTTACCCTGCACGACCAGCGTACCGCCACGGCTCGCTGCCGCTGCTACTTTGCGCTGCCTATACAGCAGAGCAGAGAGGAAGAGACAGTGATGGAAGCATGACTTGCTCCAAAAGAAGGAAGCTTGATGAGGGAAACCGTTGCTTTGAAGATGAGAGGACGGAGAAATGTATGTTCATTCTTCTGTCAGGCAGTTTACAACCAGTGTGCCTCATACGCTCTGAAAACGTGACATTAACTAAAAGTAGCACCGTGACGCGCCACTACGAAACGAAGCACAGCTCTTTTGAGCAAAGTTATCCCCTGAAGTCTGATCTGAGGGCAAAATAATCGAGCTGCAAACCCTGTATGACAGATCTACCTGACTTATCACCACATTTACAGCCCAGCAACGTGCAAACCAAACTTTTTATGTATTGTTTTCTGAGGATGTTGACTTTTTTTACTTGAAGTGGAGGCCTTCAGTTCTTTATGCTGGGACCTCTTTAATTTAAGAGATAAAAGGGTTATTTGGCTCCGTTTGCACTTTTTTTGCCAGAGACTACTTATATATATATGGTTAAAGAGCTAACTGTGCATTCAGTTAAACGTATCCTGCAGTGAAAATTGAAAATAAGTATTGTTGAACCATGAAAACGTAGCCACAGGGGAAGGCTATAAGACACAAACTGGACTATGGTTTGGACCTTTTACTTGGAGGAAATTTTAATAACTGGACCTCAGTGACTTTTTAGTTTTTTAGTTTAGTTTTCGTTGTTAGCCACACGAAGTTACTCTTTTTATATACATATATATATATATATATATATATATAAAAAAGATATATATTAATTGATTTTTTTGACAGATGCACTTATGCTGACATGTTTTTGTACTTGCAGCACGGATTGGCACAAGCAAGAGATGACAATAAAAAAGATTTCCCAATGCACTTGTAGAGGGGAATGATAAGGAACACTGTTTCATTATTATGTGTTTCAATATATTTCTATAAAGATTTATGAATCTTGCTGTGTTCTCATTAGTCAAGGACCTCTTTCTGTTTTGAGGTGCCTCGGCCACTTGTTAAAATGTTGTTCCAGAGGCTTTTCCACCTTGATAAAAAAATAGAATTAAATTGAAATCTTGTGTTTGGTATGGACATGGTAAAGATATAGAATATTTGCACAAAATATTTTACTTGCAGGTTAAATTGTACCTTAATAATTTGTTAAGCTGCAGAACTTGCTTCACCTTCAACAGATAAGAAAGTGTATGCATTGAAATTGGTGAACTCAAATTCACACAAGACATGTGGAGACTTCACATTCAGATATTTTGAAGACAGAAGAGTTTGTGGTGGTTTCCAATTGATTGGTTTTGCTATGTGTTCAGGTTTTTACCCTGCCAAAGGTCAGTGCTAAAATGAAGTTGAAGCTGACAGCCGTGGATGGCTCCCGAGTACGGAGGGTAGGTGTGGCCTGGTTCTGCAGCAGTCGGACGGAGGACTATGGTGAGAGCGGCCTTGTGGTTCTGACCAATCAGGGTGACGTACATGTGGTGTCACTGCCACATGTCAAGATGCAGGTCCAGTACCCCTGCATCCGCCGAGAGGACGTCAGCGGCATCGCCTCCTGTGTTTTCACAAAGCATGGCCAGGGTAAGAACATGCTTACACACACTCCGACATTTGTGCCCCTGTATGAGTGAAGACCCTGAATGGACCTTATGCCATGAAATGCATTTCCCCTTAGACTTTATCTAGTTGCAACACTGAACATTTCTGATCAGTGGAGTTCTTGCAGCATTTTATTTCTTACAATGAGTTATTTTATTTGTTTACTTCAGGTCTGCTTTGCTACTTGTGTTTTTTTCCATAGCTGACCCCCTTTGCAAAGCATCCAATCTCAATCAGCAGCAGCACAATTTGAATGTCCTCCATGCTTCCTGTATCTGTTGTACCTCGCTGTATATGATGTTGTCATGGTTGTATAGTCTTCTGCATTACCATGAGCCCACTGTACCTGCTTAGCCCCCCCATTTGCTGTCGTCCTCCTCCAGGCTTCTACCTGATCTCTCCATCTGAGTTTGAAAGGTTCTCTCTTTCCACCTGCTACTTGGTCGAGCCTCGCTGTCTAGTGGAGGCTCCTCTTCATTCTGGTTCTTCCAGCCAACGTCGGCCACAACCTGATGGAGCTTCATCCGCCCATCGGTATACACAGCTTAAGTGTTCTTCTTTTGACTTTCATCTTTGAGTTTTTAAGAGAATTTATGACTCTGATGTCTTCTCTTTCCTTTTACAACCAGGCAAGACAGTGAGGATGCAGGTAAGGAGTCTTTGAGAGGCTTTAAAGACATGCTGTTAAAGTAAATCCAGCATCATACTTAAGCGTGCATGTGCCATTGGCTGAGGGAACACTGCACATTCAGATACAGTGTTCTGTTTGATGTTGTTTAGCTCTGTGCTTGTGCTAATGTGCTGTATGTACTTTTTTTGCACACGTACTTTGTTTGTGGCTGACCGTACCGACGTGTCATCTGCCTGCTGCCTGTGTGTTCCAGAAAGTGCAGCTAGACGTGTTATGGAGCATGCTTTGCTGAATGACGAGAGTGAGTACTCAAGAGAAAGAGACAGGAGAGAATGTAGTGAAACTTGTAGCTAAGAAGTCATACAGGAGGCCTCCAAGTCACTGTATTTGGTCCCCTACAGTTCTGCTTCAGTAGTAATTGCATTGTGGGCTGCCTCTCTTAACTGGTATGTCAGCTTTCTGCTCACATTGTCATCAAACACAGCCACACCAGCAGGTGAACTGTCACACAGCAGTGTGTACCAAACCTCATCCATTGCATGATTTGTACAACTTCTCTTTGATCCCAGCAAGCTGTATTGTGTATGTATGTTATGTGTATGCGACTGAGCTGCTGCTGCAGATGTCATGTAAAGTGTTGAGTGTTATGTTGAGAACACTGGTTTGTTACAATTGTGTTGTTCTCTTCCAGAAGTTCTTCAGGAGATACAAAAGTCACTAGAAGGAGACCAGACGTAAGTGTCAGTGACACAACATCCACTCACACACTTCTTCTAGAAGCAGGTCAGCACAGTGTTGTCAATTTCCTTAAAGTGCGATGATGTTTTTGACTCAATAAAAAGCAAAACATGTTTACATGCCTGTGGAAAATACAAGTTGTTTAGATTGCTGTCAGATCATTTGACTGCGTCGCAAGTTTACTTCTGCACTTGTAGATGAACTTATGAGTTCACTTAGTCTTATAAACAAATGTACTTAGAAATGTATGTAGCCACAAGCTCACAAATTTACTTACAAGACATGCCCACAGATGTATGAATACGTATGAATGTACCGACTCGAAAATGTACTTTTGAACTTTCAGTGCACAACAGAAGTGAGTTGATACTTGTGCAGTATCCCTTAAATATCAAAGGATCTTCAATTGTATAATATAACATTTAACTTGAATAGTGAGTTTTTATTCTGATGTAATTATAAAAACGAACAGTTTGCATTTACTATATTACAAAATACAGGCACACAGTAGGAACTCGATGCAACGAGGTGGCCGATCTGACAAGCTTCTGTTGTGAATGAGCTTAATGTGGCTTGTAGTCTGCTCACACTCATTGCTTCCTTAAATACATTAATCACAGTGCTGTCCACATGGACTAAGCAAATCTGTGATTGGTTGAGACACTATCAGGAAGACGCTCTTTGGATGCACTGCGCATCTCGGAGGTGCTACCTTTTTTGTCTTTAGCTCTTTGTTTCGGTTTTACAGCTGCAAGCAAGGATCTGAGTGTTGATCAGATGAAAGTAAACATTTGAGTTTATTTTAGTGTTTTACTCTGGTTGTGTGATGTGAACTGTGAAAGCCCTTAAATGGTGAAGGTGAATGTGGACCAGGCCACCATCTGTACTACAGGAAGTAGTAATGTTGACGCAAGCTGCTTTCCGTTTGCCTCAGGTCATTCCTGGAGAATAATGTGAAGACTGCTGTGGCTTGAGGGCCGTCCATCCACAGTTGAGGTAAGCACAGGGCAGCAGAACTTTGCTACTTAAACATGACATCTCATCAACAGTCAGTGAACCATAACTGGTGTCTGATCGTTGTGTTTCTCTGCCTCCTCAGAAACAACTGACATGTTGCTGTGTATGAAGCATACTACAGTCCTGCAGCAGCACTCGCCAGCTGCTCGGCTCACACAACCACTACTGACCCCTCGCCTCTGTGTGTGACTGCCCCGTCCCCACCCGTCCCCACCCCATAGAGAGACACTAAAGGGCTCTTGGTAGTCGTGCTCTCTGGAGCTCCATGAGTGTCCAACAGCTTCGTGGAGCAGACAGAGTTTGAAGGAGGAGACACCACCTGTGCCTAAGGACCACACACTGTTGCCACAGCATGGTCACACACGCACGCGCGCGCACACACACACACACAAACACACACACACACACAAACACACACACACACACACACCATTTAACATAAAGCTACATGAAGCACATTCCTGACATGGGACTAACGCCATACTTCATTAAACCAGCATCCTATGACTGCCATAGATGCCTCTTGTTGAAGCTGTTTGACTTAAATACCCACATCATTCTGAAAGCCTTCATCACCACCAGCCTAGAAACGATTTGTACAATCACCATCCTCTGTTGGGCATCTCACCAGTCTTCATCTCCTCACGTGGACATTAAGCTGGACGGAATGCAGGGAATGCATTAAATAATGTTGATGGAAATATTTTGTAGTTAAAAAGTGGTTTGTGCCTCTTCTCTGAAACCTCACATTTAATGTATGGAGGCCCGTATCTGCCATTAAATCAAAAAAATAGACGAAAAGTTACAAGTGTCAACTCATTTTCAGTTCAAATTATGTGATTCTAGAATGAAGTTGAGATGCCATGACAGCTTATGAGGACTTAAAATGGAATTGTGATACGCTAAGCCAACATTTATGTTATTGTTTTTTCTTAAGCTACATTTATCCAAAGTCAAAAATGGAGACAAAAAGTTAAAAAGTACTTTTTTTGCTTTATTGTTTTTGACCTTTCAAGTCAGTAATGACTCTGGAATCATGTGATTTTAAAGGTAATATTACGAGAAACAAAGTCAGGATTAGGAGAGAGAGGTTAAGTGATGAAAAGAATCACAATTATGACTTATGTTAAGGCTTTTTACTTAAGATCATTACACAGTAAGTCACATGTTTGTTTGTTTGTTTTTATTTGGACTTAGTACCTTAATTTTTCCCTCATAGTTTTTAGTCAAAAGTCATAAATTCAAAGTTCTTAATTTTAACAATGCATTATGCCATTTTTTTTATTAGTCGTATATTTTACATAAAAGCATGTTAAGTAATTCACCATTTTTATTTAAATATTTTGACTTAATTGTTTTTTTTTTTTAACCCGCTCATAGTTTTTACATGCATCAGTTTTAAAATATTTATTTGATCCCGTACTTACTACTTGGCCAAGTTTTGCTTCCTGGTATTGTAATTTGGATTCAAGTCATATCTTTGCCTTAATCTCAAACTTCACACTTCAAAGCTGGCAGATCTTCTTCTTTTTTTCTTTATTTTTTCCTTTAACAAGCTTCTCATTCAGATGAACAACCAAGGGGAAATGATCGGGCATGCCCCAGACAAAAAAAAAAAAAGATAAGGATGTTGTTTTGTGTATGTTGAACCACAACGATGTAACTTGTGTTATTATGCTGACTTCTTATGTACTAAGTTTGTAATAGCATTACACACTGTATTGTGGCCCTGTATACTGCTGGCACAGCTCTGCCCCCACCACCCACTCTGAGCTAAACCGGCCATAGGTACTTCTGCACTACAGCAGAGCTCACAATGCTGTAACTTTTCGGGGATCAGCTTTTTTTTTGTTTGTTTGTTTTTTTAATTTTTTACTTTTTTTTTTTTTTTTTAATGTAAACCAGTTTTTATGCCAGCAATGAATAATGTAATTTAGGAATGTAATTGTAAACTATTGTAGTGATTTTTAAATATATATATATCTACACACACACACACATATATATGGAGAGAGAGAGAGTATGTATGTGACTCTGTACCTGTGGGCCTGTTGTAATCGGGGTTGGCTGCTATTTAGACCACACAAGGAAATATTTTGGTACTGTGTCTCAGAATGCTGGGTGTTGTAGCATCAGCGTAGAATATATTTTTGTAGTGAACTGATTACGAAACCTAATTTTTTGATTTGTAAGTAACTTCACACTACAGGATAATTATTACATGTTTTTCCCAAAAATGAATGTCTGGTTGTATTTACTCGCTGCACTAATGTCTTTATTTTGTAAGCTGATGGTTTTCTACATCATTCATCTCTGCTATACTGCAAAGAAATTCTTGACCGAGTATGACAGTGTTTCAGAGTCTCTGTATGCTCAACTGAAATGAAAAGAAAGCATGTAGACTTTGAACCCTGCATTTTAGCCTGTCTAATGATAGTCCTTAGCTCAAAGCTCTTTTTCCACTGTCTGTTTTTCTACAAAAGCCCAGCTAAAATCAAGGTCTTTGTGAGCTCAGTGGCTGCCGATCCACCTCTGGTGAAGTGGATAAAGGAGGCATCAGCTGTCATACATGCACAGCCAAGAGGTTTGATCATCCATTATAGAATGAGGCGCTTTGTCTGCTAATTGTCTTGAGCCACGATGGCTCCTTTGCAATCTGAGCTGTCTAACAACTTGGCTGAGGCGACACAAGCTGACAGAAGCAGCTCTGTCTGTAGATGACCACACAAGATGAGTCATGGCCATTTGCAACTTGAAGATGTTAAGTGGGCTTTAAAATGGTGGTGCCTCAGGTTGGATTAATGAGTTTTTCTTTTTGTGTTTAGGTCACAGCTTGATAATTTGAGTTTTGAGTGTCCATGAGTGAAGAGCATAGACAATAGTGGAGTGACATATCTTGCTTGTGTTGTCTCTGTACTCCACAACACTGAATTAGACAAGAAACCTCTGAGTTTAAGTGCTGCCTTGAAAGTTTTTGAAAAGTTTTTAAATGCACATCAGATGAGCAGTGTACGAATTTAATCTCTTATGCATAGATGACTGATCAAAAATGATCAGAATAAGTGCACAAATGTAGAGACACGTATTCTTAAATGAAAAATCAAATTCAGTGGTTTGTTCCAGTGATGTGACGTTTATTTGATATCCATCCATCCATTATCTATACACCGCTTAATCCTCACCAGGGTCGCGGGGGGGCTGGAGCCTATCCCAGCTGACTCAGGGCGAAGGCAGGGGACACCCTGGACAGGTCGCCAGTCTATCACAGGGCTACACTTAGAGACAGACAATCAAGCACACTCACATTCACACCCACAGACAATTTAGAATCACCAATTAACCTCAACATGTTTTTGGACTGTGTGGGAGGAAGCTGTAGAGCCCGAAGAGAACCCACGCTGCACACAGAGAACATGCAAAGTCCACGCAGAAAGATCCCGGGTGTCCTAATGGGCCGAACCGGGGATGTTCTAGCTGTGAGGCGATGGTGCTAACTACTGAGCCACCGTGCAGCCCTTCAAACAAACATACTTGGGCACCACTATAGCTCACCTGGTTGAGCTGGCGTCCCAGGTACAGGGCTACAGTCCCGATGTGGAGGTCATGAGTTCGAATCCCGCTCATGGCCCTTTCCCACACATCCTCCCCCCATTCTTCTCTCCACTTTCCTGTCTCTCTCTCACTGCACTGTCAATAAAGGCACAAAGGCTTAAAAAATAACTTAAAAAAAAAAAGCCAGCTCAGTTTTAACACACATACCTAGAGGTATGTTGACCTTAAACTCAGAGTTGTCAGTGTCACAAAGGTGTCTTTTAACCTGCTAGATCTCCATGGTAACTGATGCTGTGGAGCTAGCCTGGTCAGGAGGAGGTTATGTGCAGAGTTTTGGATTTAAGTTGACTGTAAGCTGTGTCTGCCTTTTAACCAAATCATTTCCTGACAGAGTTGTGCCTTATGAATATCACCGAATGAAGCCGTGCAGTTACAGCATCACACAGTCATGTGAACCCAATCAGTAAAATAAATATATTAACACATAATTAACAGCTTACCACCAGAATTCCTGCATGCATCATTTACAGCAGCAGTGATTTTACCATCACAAGTGTTTACATTCCTCTTTGTTCTCCATTATAACGTGTTGACCGAAGCAGCTGCACAACGTTTCATTTAGTGCAGAAGAAGAGTCACATGACGCCTTAAACACCTCCTTTTATGTGAACAGTCTGAAGCAGAAAGTCTGAGCTGACAAAGAAAGTTGAACCACCTTCATGATACCCGTGATCTCTGAACCAACTTACACAAAGAAAGCCTGGCTGTGTCAGACTCTGCACTGTTAACCTGAAGTAGGTGTATAAATCCTCAAAATAACCACTCTACTATTACAAATGTCAACAGCTGGAAAACAATAACGAATGGATCCGTATACTTATGATCCGCTTTCAGATATTAATAATGAGTCCTCATTCTCTCTCCGCTCTCTCTGCTCTCCCTTCTCTTCTCCATCAGCACCTATTGTTGATCACTCCAAGCAGCACCTCTCACCTTTCCTCCCAAGCATTCAGCAGCTGGCCATATGAAAGGCAGCTCAACTCCATGACTGGCCCGATACAGCTGAATAATTTAGGTGTGTGTGTGTGTGTGTGTGTGTGTGTGTGTGTGTGAGCGCGCACACACACACACACACACACACTTTGTCACACAGCTCACCTTTGTCATGCACACATACACCTTTGTTGGGCGTGTATTGCATATATGGCTGTGTGCCCTGTGTATTATGTTAGTTGGTGGAGTATTGGCGTATTAACTGGCCTTCAGCTCTGCTCCTGAACATGGGTAAATGTTTGTATCAGTGACACCAGCTCTTGAGGACAAGCCGAAGCTCTCTGCAGCCCCCCAGCCATGCCTGGGTTTCACCTGAGAAGCCTGGTAAGGTTTATTACACTGAAATGTGCTCTCACTGCTTTCCCCCCAGGGCTCCCTGGCTATACAACCACATTTAGGCCGCTCTAAAGATAAACTTTCACTGCCGTGTAGATCTAAGCTTCAGATAAAACCTTTTGTTAGCTGTGATAAAAGTAAACGGAGAATGGTTGTTTCGCTTTGTGTGTTTGCAGTGTTGCACTATATTCAAGTTTCTCTCTGTACAGATTTATAGAAGTTTGCAAATTTAGTGTAGCAATGGCATTTAAAAAATTAGGTCAGTTTAGGCCAAACCAGGGTTAACCTGGATGTCTTTAGCTTGACTACAAGGATCAGGGACTTTAAGTGTGAAACCCAGTCAAGATGTTGATTGACTGAGCCAAGGACTTGGTTTCATTCAGTTTGACAGACATGTTACTCAACCTGCAGGCCTTAATTGTTCATTTATCTAGAGGTTAACTTGTTTATCCAAGTGTGTCAGTGATACATTTAAATTTTCCAAATTGAATCTCACCTGTCAAAATAGACTGTTTTTTATTCTGTAGGTGATTTCAACTCTGAAGAATTGAGTCATGCCACCACTTAAGTCCCAAGGTAGAACATATGCAACAAAGCAGAGGGCAGAGACAACAAAAACAGGAAATCAACAGAAAAAGGTGAGACAGAATGGTTCCAAAGCATGTCAGCCTCCCTCTCAAGTGCCTAATGGGAAACAAAGACGAGGGAATTCACCAACTCTCAAGTCTATGAAGACAGATGGACTGAAAAATAATGACAGGAAGGAAGCGGGACAAGCCAGAAACATAGGTTCCAAACACAAGGAACCACACAAACAAATTGGAAATGGAAAAACTACTAATGGTAGATCACAACCTCAACACAACAAAGGTAGTAAGATTATAGGGATCAAAAACAAGACCACCGAACCTCCTCCAAAAGCACCCCCATCCATACAAAAAAAGCCTGAAAATGACAGCAGTGACAAAGTGACAGAAAGTGAAGAGGAGCAATCAGAGAGTGATTCAGGAAGCTTGGTGGAGGTGAAAGAAGAGGAAATTAGTAATGAGAAGGAGGAGGAGTGGGGCAGTCACGAAGAGCCATATGAGACGCAAGGGAGTGAGGAAAGCAATGAGGAGGCTGAGGCACTGGATACTCAAACAGATACAGAACAGTCAACAAACGAGGAGTCAGACAAAGAGGAAGCCAAAATCAGCAGAAGTGATTCTGAGAGCGAACCGGCTGAATTTAGAGAGGGAGGAGAAAGAGAAAAGAACAAGACGGAAGTACAAGTGCTTGAGACCATCAATAGTGATGGGAGTGGAGACAAGGAGATAACCCAGAAGGACACGTCTGAAAAGCCAAACACTGACAAAGTCTGCAGGCGACGAAGACAGAATCCACGTCTCTCGAAGGCTGAACAAGGGCAATACAAGATGTTTAAAAAAACAAAGGCAGATAAAGAGGTTGAGAAGGCAGAAAAACAAAGGCTCAAGGCAGAGAAGCAGCGATTAGCAAAGGAAACCAAACAAAAAGCCAAGGAAGAAAAGAAGAACAAAAAGAAGGCAATGAAAGGTGACAAACCTGGTTCTGCGTCAAAGGGGATTCAGCCACCAAAAGGTCCTTCCTTCACCAAGGTTGATGCTGCAAAAGGCAAGACCCAGGTAGTAAACAAAACAAAAAATACCAAAGAGAGAGATTCTCCTATGGAAGCTGATCCAGATGAGGAAGAAGAGGAAGCTGAACCCACACTGACCAAAGCCATCAAAGACCAAAACCGAATAATGCTTCTTAAAGCCAAAGGTAAAGACTTCAAAGCCATTCTGGAGCCTGAGGAGCAGCAGGATGCTGAAAGAATCATCAAAGGGCAGCCACAGAGCTTACTCTTAGGGAAAGTCAAGATGGCATCTCTCCGACACAAAGCAAAGAAGGTGTTGACAGCACCTGATGAGGAGACATTTGTGACTGAGGATGTTGATGGGAGATCCAGCAAATCTAAGGAGTGTTTGATAGCACAAAGAAAAGGCATGACGACTCTTCGCAGAGTATCTGGTTGGATTCAAAAGAAAATGCCCAGAGGGGTAAACTTGAGAAGGAAATTTTCTGCTTGGACTAAAGCCATAGGGATATCCCGATGGCTCTCAGTTCGAACCATAAAACAAAAACAAGGCTCCAAAAAACCTAAGGGCAATATCTTCAAACAGAGGATGGCCATGAGAGTTGCCAGTAAAACCAACCTAACCAGCAAGAAAAACAAGAGCTCAGAAGAAAAAATGGGTAAAGAGACACCCAGTCTCCAAACAGGGAAGGGTGCAGAAGAAGCAGTGTTAGCTGGGGAGAAAGAGATAGAGGCTAAATACGCTGTGGTACTCCCCAGAATGAACAAACTGGACAAGGCAAAGGTGACTGAGGCAGCTCAGGCAG